TAGCAGTTGCCTTTTTTAAAGATTACAGCCTTAGAAACCCTATGGAGCAGTTCTACTCTGTCTTATAGTGTCACTATGAGTCAAAATTGACCTGATGGCAGGGGGTTGGTTTGGAGTTTTTTAGTACCCACCCCAATCAAGGTCTATTATATTACACTCTGCTTTCTTCATCAGTCTTGCCAGTTCTCTGATGTGATTTTATCTTTATTTTGGCTTCTTATTAATGTCCCTGGGAGCTCTGGTGGCATAGTGCGTAAGGCATTTGACTGCTGGCCAGGTGGCTGGTGGGTTTGAACCCCACTTCCCAGAAGGAAGGTTGGGCAATCTACTTCTGTAGTGATACCTCTTCAGAAACCCAAGGAGGGGTCTTTATGAGTTGGATCTGACTCCATGACAATGTGTTTGGTTTTGGTTATTAATATCCCTTCACCATGATGTAAGCTCCCCAAGAAAAGAGACCTTGTCTTTGTTTACCACTGTATCCTCAGCACACAGATAATTTTAATCCATAGTAAGTGTTCTATAGGTATTGGCAAATTAATTAACACATTCATACTATTTGGTCTTTCATCATAAACAATCTAGCAAGCAATATAGACAAGTAACAGCCAATTGCAGTGTAACGTATTGTCTTATAACTACTATCGGATAACAGAAATACTCAGTTCAAAAATACTTAACTCATTTTTCCTTAAATTCATTCCCTTCTTGTGCAACTGTTTGCCACACAGGGCTCTCCCACTTTATCTAAATCCTTCTTGCCTCTACTTATCTAAATCCTACTCTTTCTTCAAGACAGAACTCAAGCCTGATTTTCTAGATAAAACCTTTACTCACCATTTCAGACCCACATCCATCCATCTTCTGGACTCCTATTGAGCTTGGTGTGCACTTGCTGTTCATTCTTATAATACACTAAATTGCCCTTGAGATTTATGTGCTTTGGATTTCCAAGCATATTAGAAGTTTCTCAACTGCATAAATCTTGTTTTATACTTTTCCCCTCATTGTTTCCACTTTCTGCCACACAGTTTGATTGCTGATTATGTAATCAACAAAAAAAACTTTCAAATGCTTCATTTTACAAAACTTTCATTTTGCTTTTTTCCATTTTCAGGCTTGAGAATTCTGGAGATGGAAGAGAAAATTGGAAATGTGCTTACTTTCATAATGGAAAAATCTACTCTTCCTTCTGTGAAAGCAAACGTTATCTAATGTGTGAACGGAAGGCTGGGAAGGCAAAGATGGACAAACTACTTTAATGAGAGAGATAAACAGAATATCCTAGACAAGTGCTTGATTGTACAATAAAAAGCCTTGATAAAGAATCACTAGAGATAAAATTGCTTATATATCCCTTTCATCACCACCAAGACACCTTTATAATATTTTTGCTTCCAACCTCACTAAAACTTTTCTTTATACATCCACAAGTGGTCTCTGTGAGTTGATCGTTTGCTTTCTAATTGTCTGCTTCCCATTAACTTTTATTTCTTCTTGTCTTCCATTCCTGATTATCTGGACTTCATCTGCTTCAGACATAAACATGTAAAATTGTAACAGGAAAATTATGGCTTAATTGGCTTAAATTGTTAAAAAAAATGTCTGTGTTTGAAAGACAATATAAGGTAGTGGAAAGAATATAAAATTTGAAATCTGTAGAATAATTTAGATGGTGAGTTTACTTAACTGAAATCCTATCATGGATTAGTCATGTAACCTTTTTAACTTCTCATATCTAAAATAGGATGATAATTCCATTTTATATACCTCACAATTTAACAACCTAAAATAAATCTTCAGAGTGTAAACCATACCAGAAACTCTGTGAAGGCAATCACCATGACTTTCTTGTTTAATATTCTGTGTAAAGCACCAAACACACAGGTAACAGAAAATATTTACTTTTCATTGAATGAGATAATTCACTAGGAAGTGTCTCAATCAGTAAAAAACACTATACAGATAAAATTACAATTCCAAGTTCACATCTGTTCAAATTCAATAGCAATAATTATCTATGAAGAAGGGAAAATAAAATTTGTAAGAAACTTCATAACATTTGTAAAATGAGTAAATGCTTCTTAACAAGGTTTGTGAGCTAGTAAACAGAATTGTTGTTGTTGTTATGTGCCATCGAGTCAGACCAACTCATAGCGACCCCTCCTTG